TAATATGTTAATTTCGCCTGTAAATGAATGATAAAAATATTAATAACATGAAAGTTTTCTAATTGTATCTAGGCCTCTAGGCCTATGACCTGTCTCTTATACACATCTAGATGTGTATAAGAGACAGGTAATACATAGGCCTATAGCTTGTCTTATTTTAAGGGTAGGGAGGCCGTAATCATAGAAAAAAAAACACCAATATAATCAGGATAATACTACTTTACGGGCTACTACAATAAAATACTCAGTCTATGAATTTTCCAATTTTAATCGGATGAACAATATACTGGAAGAGACAATGGGCCTAATAAATCAATTTATAATAAATTTATAAATAAATTACAATTTTTACAACATGATTGCTAATCTTCCTTTCAAGCCATGATCCTTACTAAGGTGCGTCGCCAGTTTGCCCTTTCATAATCATCATGCGTGAGTGTGTTTATGTGTGATTGCTGAAGTTAAGATTTATCATATTTATCGTTTCATTGCTTTTAAACAAAATTGCCATGGCTATAATAGGCCTATATTCTAGAAGAAAGGGGTGACGGAAAGTTAATAATAATCAATGATATTAACTTTTTCCAAGTATGTATTGTAATGTAATTGCATAAAAGTTATTTATTAGCCAGGCATAGAGAGACGGGGGCCTAGCTTAACGTGAAAGAGAATGAGGCCTATACTACAATGTGACCGGGTAGCTGGACTGTGCATTGGCTAGGCCTCCTAGTCCGACTTATGTAGCCCAGGCTGAAATGGTTGTAATTAGCAACTCCCATGTTCCCACCGCCGGCCAAGTTTTAAGAATTTAAATTTCTATCACTCCGCGTCCCCGTGAACCTCACGGCGGAAGTTTCCAAGGCGGAAGTTGTGATTTTGAAAGTTTGAGGTGACATTTCAAATGTTGTTGCGGTGAATTTTGAAAGTGTGCCGTGGGTTTTAAAGTGTGCAGTGAATTTTGAAAGTGTGCCGTGGTTTTTAAAAGTGTGCGGTGAATTTTGAAAGTATGCCGTGACTTTTTAAAGTGTGCCGTGTGGTTTCGAAAGTTGTTGCCGTGAATTTCGAAAATGTGGCCGTGACATTTCGAAAGTTGTTGCCGTGACACTTATGGGCCACCGTAGTGGCTCCATCATAATCTCTTCAGATTGTGGAAAATTTACTTAATACGAACGAAACCACAAACGAAATTAAAACTACAGTAAACAAGGGTGCAAAGTGTAGCGTCAATTTGCTTTTGTAATGCTTTCGTTATCAACAGTTGCACGTTCAATAATATGCTATCAAAACATTTGTACAGTACTTTTGAAGTTTTAATTCTGTTTATTTTACGTGTCTGACTATTAGGTGAACATTTTAACAATGTTCTCGTCAATAAAAGGTGTCTAGGCCTATGTCTTTCAATTTGAACCCATAATTCTCTGGCAGCAAACTTAACATTTTTTAGTAGTGAAACGTCTGTAAATCATTGATTTTTTTTTCGATCTGTAACTTGTGTGGTTCTATGAGTAATTTAAATTTATGTTAATTTTATTTTTAGGGTATTTAGATTTACTTTGTGGTGGGTGATATGAAAAGGCTTTTATGAATAGCTTTTAATTTGCTGAAAAAAAATCTAGTTGGCATAGTTCTTGATCTCTGTTATCTCTTGCACGTATAAAATGACGGACATAATTTCAGTAACGGGCCCCAGTCTCAGAAAGCCACAGGGCCCCCGGGAAAAAAGCCTGATCATTCGTCGGGGAATTGCTTTTTTCAGTCTGAGTAGTAATTTTTTTTTTATCAGAGGTTGACACACGTAGGTGTACATATCTCACGGAGTCTTAGTGATCATATTCATTCAGAAAATGTTATTAATAGTATATATTAAATCAATCATAGATAATTTTGACGATTTTAACCGCGTTTATTATGGGAATTCTCTGAAAGACAATTGGCCTTCCCTCCATAAATTACGGTTGTGCGGTATGGGGTGGGGATAGCAAAAGTGATACAGACAAAATAGAAAGATTACAGCTTTAAATGGCTCGGTATAATATTATTTTAAAAGCTTCACGCAACGCTCCTCGTGCTGCACCTATGGTGATCTACAGTAGGTTGGACCACGATAGATGTAATTCAAAATGAATTTAAAGTTAAATATATGTCTCACCTTATGAATATGGATATCGTTGGCCAAAACTGTTATTGTATTCAATGACTAATCTAAACTGTGAATTCAATAAATTACTTTATAAATTCTTGGGTTGTATTGCAAAAGATATTTAATTGTGTCAATCGGAAGATATTATTTTTGATTATGTT